AAAATTTTCGTGACTATCAAACTCGAGAGTCAAACTTATCTCAGGAAAAACTATCAATGATCGTTGCGCCCAGATTTGGGGGCTCGGAGTTATAGTGAGAGCGAGGTAACTAAAGAACTCACCGCCTGCACGCTTTCTCCACAGAGAACAAGGCTTTCTTACGGAACATGAAGATATGTTTAAGATTCGGGATATCCTTACATAACGGGACCAATCTCGCTTCAAATGACTGCGTCTTCAGAATGCATAGAGTATCAACAGGAAGATGTGCTCGTAGACAAGTTATCGTAGCATGAAGTAAAGTGCGTACATCCTGAACAAGAACACAGACATTTCTTACACTGTGGCAGTGGCAGCCGCAGATGTACAAACATTGGTGAGGAAACCACGCCCCCTCGGGCAACGCCCACTTCAGAGAAGCCATACATGGAACGAGCGCTGTTCTGGGTTGAATCTTCTTCCATAAATAATTGCTCTTAAAACATTGTCCTCCTTAAGCAACTTCAGACAAGGTGTAGTCAAAGCTACCTAGGAGAAACAACAACTGGTAGAGAGGCAGTCTGATAGGGTGTAGCTTCCCACCAGTTCACATATCAAGGCTTCGCTTATTCAGTTGTGAACAACACCACTGAAGAACTTGTTTTAGAAGGAGTTTGGTCCAATCATGCAATTTAAGGACGACGGATTGCGAAGTGCAAATGCCCACCTAGGGGTTGAGCTTTGTCCTAAGGCGTAGAGTTTTATTTCTCAATTGCTGCAAAAGATGCGTTGAAGCGAGGTGATGTATGCAGCATCCGTAGCAGGGCCGCTTTAGCGACGCTGTGCGCGTCGACTCTATTCCCAAGTAAACTCGTACTGCAATGTCGCTACGGGCGAACTAACGCTCCGCACCTAAGCGGTTGTCCCCCCCAAAATACTTGATGAAGAAAAAACTCACAGACTCGCTCAGAAGCTCTTCACCGAGTGCTATGGAAAGCACTGTCAAAGCTGGATGTTCAGCATAACATACAGATACACCAGGCCTAAAAGGATCAAAAGGTCTCACATATAATTTGCACTCGCTCTGTTCGCATGCACAACCATAACTGCCTCTAGTTGAAGGTGCAGTCTATGCTGATGAAGTGGGCGGAGACAGAGAACCACGGTCTTGCATTTGTCACTGGCACGTCCCCTGCTCCTTTTCGATTCGCCCTTGTTCTAAGTTCTTCACCGTCCCAGAAGGAGGGCGAACCAACAGTGAAGATATAATGGGGAGACCGCCCGCACTGTCTGCCTCTCTGCCTCTCACTTGTGTCAGCCAAATCCACTGAACTTTGAGAAGGAACACAAGAAACTGGACGAGGCCTCTTCTGAATGATTCAGCCTCCTCCCCCTTCTGACCTACTCACGGTGGACACATTACCGGTTAATAAAGCAAACAATCAACGCACAAAATCAATCAAATGTTTTGCTGAAAAATAGCCTTTCAAAAAGAGTATTGAGAACTGACCTGTTCAGCATTTTGCCGAATAGTGTACTTCCACATCTAGCAGTGTTTGTAAAAAGCAAAGTTCTCGGCTGAGGATTTGCAGCCAGTTTGTCGGCAAATTTCAGGAATTCGGTATGTGAGACCTCCGCAACAGCAAGCGCCTGAAAATTCGCCATTAAGGTCCACGATTGGCTGCCTAGTTTTGCACCAATTACACGCAAATCACGTACGCGAATATGTGGCACCGAGCCAAGAACAATAACAGCCAATATACTTGAATACAGCTCAATGAAGCTAGGGCCACAACTCAACTACATCAGCCACAAGCACAAGTGCATCGCAGCAGTTCAGTTTTGATGAAGAACCTCTGAATTTCCTGCGAAACACTTCACTGCGAAATCTCTAGCGCAGCACACTTCCAAAGTCCCTATCGACTCAAATACTCGCCGTCCCGCCTTTAAAGCAGAGCCAAGCAGGGAAGGATTTCTCTCCCAACACGACTCCACAGTACGATCCTCTTAGTTCTCGACATCAGAATGACTTTTCCCTGTGATATCGTCAGGCTAGGAGGAGGGTTAGCAACTTTTTGGTCAATGAAATGCTGAAATTGCTTCGACACTAGGTAGGAGCGCGCATACAGGGGGGGGGGGCAAAAAAAAGACACTTTGACCGAGTCACATATCAGCAAAGTTTTCGCAGCCCAGACAGAGGACGTGGATACGAGTACCAGGGCGGAAGATACCCAAGATGTTCCTCGATAAGCAGGAGCTGGCTCTCGCCCATCACCTTCATGTACCAAAATATGAAGTCATCTCCAGTCGCAGCCTGACTGGAGAAGGCCCTTGGAATTCACATTGCCTCCAAATTGCTGCGAAAATTCTTGTATGGAGTCACCTATAGGACAGCTATCTGGGGACCAGCACTCTTGATCTGGAAGACCCTCCAACATCGAACAGCTCTGACAACGCCGCTACGGTCCAGGATATCATCTTCACCGCAGTCGCCAAGGCGCGGGTTGATGGTATGGACCGGAAGTTCCTGGAATGTGAAGACCGATATTTTCTTCACCCCGCCGGACTGAAGGTGAGCGCTGACGGTTACATCGACCAACTCGTGAAGAATATCCTGCCTTCATGTCATCGCTTGGAAACTTCGTACTGCTACAGGCCACCACATGGAATCGAAGGGCGTTGGAAAAACTCTCGCCTACTTAGGAATGGAAGGGCGTTGAGTACCGAAGAAAACAGAATATCTAAGCGTGTCACTGACTTGAAACCCTCAATTGCCGGGTTCGAGCGGAGCTCAACAGGGTGGTCTACAGTGGCGGAGAAATCAACGACCTCGCTGAACTCAGGCACCGAATCACGGTCGCGTGGCAGAATCTCTCGATGGCGCTCGTCCAGAAGGCTGTGGCGGAGTATCATGATAGTATACAATATGCTGTTGAATATGGTGGTGGAAATGTCCAATCAGAATTCAATAAAGTGTAACTTATATCGCCTTGAAAGTCGAGGAAGAAAAGTGTCTTTTTTTGACCCCCCCCGTATACACTCGAAATCCCTGAGATGAGGTAGGCGTGGCTGCGTACTTCAACTAAACGTCGTCGTGGCTATGCTTTTGGAGAGATATTTTCATTTTGACCCAAATGTGGTCACGTCTCTGTCAACAATGA